AGGTTCTGCTGAAAGAAATTCGAGATGAACAAACAAACGGCACAGAAACTCCAGCCGGGTGACCTTCAGCATCACTGGTCTCAGGATCATCATCTGTAAAGTGGGCGTATGGTTTGGAATGGAAGGTCATCGCTTATGCAGTGCAATACCACAGTGCATGGGATATAACGGGAATCACTTATGCAGTGCACTTACCACAGTGCATGGAATACAGTGGGGCCTTGACTTACGAGTTTAATTCGTTCCGAGACCGAGCTCGTTAAGGAGCTCGTTAACTCAAATTACTCTATCAACTCAATGCAAAAAATCGGCCGAGAGACAGCTGGTATCTCAAAAAAACTCGTTAGTCGGGACACTCGTAAGTCAAGGCCCCACTGTATACCGGTAATCACTTGTGCAGTGCACGTGCTATAGTGCATGGAATATAATGGTAATCACTTATGCAGAACCCTTACAACCAAAAAAATGAGTTCGCATGTCACCTCTGACACGCGTGTCATAGGTTCGCCATCACTGATAGGCAGTGCACGTACCAGAGTGTATGGAATATAACTGCTCAAGAAATGTCGGCCATTGCAATGATGATCATTGTAAAATACATTGTTGGGGTGAGGAGGGTGGAAGTCTCATTTATTCATGTATCTTTAGAAGAAACACACGAAGAGTGAGAGAAAGGGAGAGGAAAGGGGTGAAGGTCACAGGCTCCATGATATGACGCTTCCCTTTGCTCCTCCCCATCTTACGTCAAATTACTAAACTCACAAAGTCATTGAGGCATGTGAATAGAAGAGACAAAGGCAGTGACGGGGCAAGACTACGTTCATCAGTCGAAATAAGGACTGTCCAGGCCGCCCAAAAGCACGAAGGCAGAGAGAAGGGGGAGCACACCGAGGCCTGTCAGAGTTTCACAGAGCTATAATATTGGGGATGAGTGAGTGAGTGATCAGGATTAAAAGCTGTCAGCAAGCCGGGCCCGTGTGGCCATGCTGTGTGCCAGAGCCAGGAAATGTGAACAGTGAGTACTAGTAAATGGCTAACAACTAGCCCTGGAGAAGGAAGGCGGGGTGGGTTGGGGGGCAGGGAGGGAGCAGGAGGGAACTAACCTGTAGTATTTGCCAATTTCTGTGGCATAAATACTCCCACCGTAGCCCGTTTCAAGCTACCACCGAGACATCGCTGAACACAATGATGGGAAAGACGCACGGTAGCGTGCTGTTATATAGTATTGCCGCCATGGACACAATAGACAGAACCTTGAGAACAAAGAAGATGGTAAAATAATTAGGAGGTGATGGCCCTGGTCGGCCTGAGGACTGAGGGGTCCCAGGTTCGATTCCGGTCGAGGGCATGTACCTTGGTTGCGGGCACATTCCCAGTGGGGGGTGTGCAGGAGGCAGCTGATGGATGCTTCTCTCTCATCGATGTTTCTAACTCTCTATCCCTCTCCCTTCCTCTCTGTAAAAAATCAATAAAATATATTAAAAAATAATTAGGAGGTGATAAATGTTGACTATCTATTACCTTTGTTTTTAACATCATTTATTTAACTGTAAACTTGTATAACCAGCTTTAACAATAGCTGTGTTTAACAACTGCTTAGCAAAATCCTTTAGAAATGGAACCATTGCCTCTCACAAGCCCGTGGGAGCCAGCACCGGTGCACCACTGGCCAGGGAGGGAGGAAATGTGGGCATGACCTGGTGTCCTAGGGGTCAAGTTCACGAACAGGAAGGTACTCTTGCCCTAACCGGTTTGGCTCAGTGGATAGAGCATCGGCCTGCGGACTGAAGGGTCCCAGGTTCGATTCCTGTCAAGGGCATGTACCTTGGTTTCGGGCACATCCCCAGTGGGGAGTGTGCAGGAGGCAGCTGATCGATGTTTCTCTCTCATCGATGTTTCTAACTCTCTATCCCTCTCCCTTCCTCTCTGTAAAAAAACAATAAAATATATTTTTAAAAAAAGGAAGGTACACTTGGGGCATCTAGAGCTCTCTGGGCAGAAGTGAATAGGAGCAGACATGACCACACAGAGGCTGGGGCAGAGACTGGAAGACACAATTTTGTGGTTATGCCCATCCTGTTTCTATCCCTGATCGCTGGGAGCAACTGAATGCCCATCCAAGGTGTTAGTATATGATCTTTCCCCTCTACGGATGCCGCTGTGCAAAATATTCCCGTCACGTACAGAGCTCCTGGCGACAAGGACACTGCTCCCGGCTCCCAGCCACACGAAGCTAAGGCCTGTCCGCCGCTCTCCCTAGGAATGCAGGGCCCCTCTGCTCAGCTCACTGTCCCCTCTGCCTGGAATGAGACCAGGCGCAGGGCACACCCCAGGCCTCCCCACCGTGGTGGCGGCTTTCTGCCTAAGGCTTGGGAGCAGAGGCAACCCAGACCGGAGATCGGATGCCATTTGCCTGAGCACGTCTTGCAGGAGTACAAGAATGGAGAGGGTTGCGAGATGGATCTGTGCGAGGACACAGCGTGAGCACAGTCTACTGTTGTCAAAACACTTCGCTGGCGGCATGCATCTCTCCTCGGGGAGAACAGAGCTGTCGTCACGGTGACAATTTTACTCCACGCCGGTGCCGTTACCAGGCCTAAAAATAGGAAGGAACGGGGAGATTTTCTCTGAGGGCTCAGCCCCGTTCCCCTGCGTCTCCTGCCTGAGACTCTGCTCCCGGCATCGAGGGCGGACAGGAAGGAAGCTGAGAGGCACTGAACGCTGCCATGTGCGACTCTGAGCGGCGTGTTGCCATGTTAGTCTATGTCAGCGGTTCTCAACCCTCTGGCCCTTTAAATACAGTTCCTCATGTGGTGACCCAACCATAACATTATTTTCGTGGCGACTTCATCACTGTCATGTTGCTACTGTGATGAATCGTCATGTAAATATCTGATAGGCAGGATGGTCTTAGGCGACCCCTGTGAAAGGGTCGTTTGCCTGCCAAAGGGGTCGTGACCCACAGGTTGAGAACCGCTGGTCTATGTGATCCTCCCTTTAACTCGGCGTCCGGAGGGGAGATTTGCTGAGCGGCTGGAACGAGTGACTTTCTCACAGCCACACGCGCAGGGGAGACAGCATCACCCCCTTGCAGAGCTGGGAGAGCTGAGGAGGGTTGCCAGAGATGCCGCAGCCCAAAGCCTTCTGCTTACACATGCTCCCGCGGAGCTGCTTGCTGTGGGGCAGAGAGGTGAGAGAGCCAGGCTCCCGAGACCGCCCCACGCCTGCTGCCTTTTCCCCCCTTTTCTCTTCCTTCTCGAATCCCTTGGTCCCCCCCGTCCTGCCTCACCCTCCAGGAACACAGAAGTGGTCCAGGCCTGGGGTCGAAAAGACTCTTGTTGGAGTCCAGGCCCCGGGACTTACTGATAACTGTGACCGTGGCTCCTCTGTTTAACCTCTGAAAGCTGCAGGGTTTCGGCGATCCGTTGGGGACGGGCAGAGTTCCTACTTCAACACGTGGTGGGGATTCCACGAGAACATGCGTGTTCTGTGCTGCGCACACGGCCTGACACAGGGCGGATGCTCACACTGGCTGGAGAACGTGGCATTGAGAGCGGTCTCGGGTCCCAGCCTGCCCTGCCCTCGGGACACCACAGCCGGGAGGGCAGCGGGGTGCAGGGGTCGTCCCTCCTCCCCACGGGGCCGGGCGAGTCCCTCCCTTCCAGGCGCTGGCCCTGGATGGCACGGGGCACAGGGAGGGTGGCGAGGAAGCTCACCCCTACAGAGCTGGTAGGCTAACCGCGGGCAGGGCCCCCTTCGAAGTTCTCCGCAAACACAAGCTCATCGCGTCTGTGTAACAAGTCCGTGCAGAAGGGCCACTATTCCTGCCACTCGGCCAAGTGAAAAGTAGGCCTCGGTGCCATCCTCGGGGTCCACGCTGACTCTGTGGGCGAAACAGGCCCGGCCCACAGCCCGGCCTCCCTAGGAGAAGGGACCAGGCCACCCACACCGCCCTCCGTGCTGCCTGTGCCCCCAGAAACTCTGTCCCGGGGCCCAGGCTCAGCAGGGACAGCTCCCCATCACCAGGGGTCACCAGGGGTCACCAGGGGTCACCAGGGGTACCGCTCCCTTCGAGATCCACCTGCGGGCCACTCCTCCTCCTCCCTCTCCTTCCTCCCTCTGACAGCGAGGAGGGACAAAGCTGGCCAGGCAGATGGAGCCATGTGAGCAGGTGCAGACCGGGGTTAAAGTTCGCCCTGACCAGCAGCGGGGCGCTGCTCAGCCAGCAAGGAGACGGGGCGGCCGCCCGGGGCTGTGAGGACCGGACAGCAGCACAGGGCGCGCAGAGGATCACGCTGGGCACCTCGGGGAGTGGCTACTGTGACTACCGGCCACGTCCCCGGAGGCCTGGGCTGATGTCTGGCAGGTCCCCCAGGAAGACGCACCTGCCCTGAGCCTCCCGGTCCCTGATCAGAACAGGCTGCTCTGTGGGATCACGGTGCCGGCGGGCGAGGCCCTGGCAAAGGCCACTCAGCTCGGCGCCCGGCACACGGCACGGGCTCTGCTCTCTGATCCTCGTGGTCGGCTGCCCCAGGGATTGAAAAGCGGCTCAAACTCCCAACCAACTCCTTGGGGTTTTGTGTTTTTCTCCCCAGCGCAACTTGTGGGAGGGAAACTGTGGATGTTTCTCTTTCAGAAACATAAGCACCGCCTCCGAGGTGCTGGCAGCTTTCAAAGGACCCACCGCCTGAGCGAAGAACCTCCCCCAGCCCAGCGAGCCAGGCTGGCGCCCAGGGGACCGGCAACCACGCGCTTCCGCAATGGCTCTATTTTAAAGCTCTCTTCTCCAAAAGTTGATGTTACCAACCAAGCTTTCATCGGACCCTAAGCTGCTTTGCCAACACTCAGGCGGGACTCAGGAAAGGACATGGGTTTTAATGTCTTTTATTTTTGTCAATCCTCACCCGAGGACATTTTCCCCATTGGTTCTGAGAGAGAATGGAAAGGAGGAGAGAAAGAGAGAGAGAGAAACATCAATGTGAGAGAGACACATTGATTGGTTGCCTCCCGCATACGACCCCGATCGGGACCGGGGACTGAGCCTGCAACCCAGGTACATGCCCTTGACTGGAATTGAACCCAGGACCCTTCAGTCCGCAGGCCAACGCTCTAACCACGGACCCAAACCCGCTAGGGCGGACATGGGGTTTTTTAAGTCGGACGATGTACTAGTAGCTTCAGAGGCAGGTTTGTGGCTGCTGTGTGACTATAGGTAAGTCACTGGCCCTCTCTGGGCTTCAGCGGCCTCACTTAGAGAAAAAGAACAGTATCAACTTCTTAGGCTTGAGAGGAGGGTCGAAGGAGAAGGAGGGAAAGCAAAGTGTGAAATGTGAAGCGCTGTGTGACTGTGAATTGCTGCAATTTACCGCTAAGAGAAATCGTGGACTTAATGCTCAGTCACGGTAAACAGACTCTCTCAGGAAACGGGTATCTCTGTGTTCATCTTCGTTATAAAGCTGAGTTCCCATTAGAGCAGTCCCTGTGTCCTGGTGTCCACTATTATAAGCTCGTTCAAATCTTCCTGGAAGGAGGCAAGTACACAACTAAACCCAACAGCTCCACAGGGAGAATGAGCTGGACCCCGGACGCCCTCATCCACTGTATTTGAGGCGGCTGTGGAGACAGAACTGCTGCCAGCAGCCTGGACGCAAGGCTTGTTTCTCGGGACGAAGGTCTTCTCAGGAAAGACGTCAAAGACGAAGGCAACCAGCTCTGAAGGCAACTCTGTCCCAACCACACGTACCCAGCCGGGCCCACGGGATCGGTCGAGGGGAAGCCTGGTCCCAAAATTAGTGCCTCGACGTCCCCGGCTTCATAACCTCAGCCTGAAGGCAGATGTCTGCATTTTGTTTCCTGTAGAATTTTTAGAAGCCAAATGCCCTTTTGGAAACCCTGCCCTTCTCTACCTACCAGTTCACCAACCCTATGGAGACGCAGCCAGCCAGGGATGAGGCCTACACGAGACGGCCAGGTGGGCCAGATACTCAAGTTGTCCCCGAGCTGTAACATAGCACACGTGTGTCCAACATAGCACACGCGTGTCCCACCCACACTGTTCCTGAGCCTGAGTCACAGGGCTCCGGCGGGAGCTGGGCACAGGTACAATAAATAGCCCGTGTCAAACAGGAGGAAAGAGGGGAAGTGGGGGGAATAAGGTCAAAAGTCACTGCGCCCAATCTGAGCATCCTACGCATCTCAGCCTTTCCGTTACTGACCACCTCCTGCCACAACTCCTCCTCAAAACGGAGAGCGTGTCACGTGGAAAATCCTGAAGAAGCGAGCATCCTTGGGTTAAGCAGCATGAACGACGCGGCATCGTAAAACGAAGCTGTTACTATGTCGTCTCCTTTCCGAGCTGCCGAACGCCCACCGTTCAGAGCGGCCTTGGAGCAGCTGGGGGTTCCTTGCAAGACGCGGCTTTGATGAGTGCCGGCCGGTGGATTTGCACTCGGGGGCTGTGATGGCTTTGGCTGGTCACACCTTGAACGTGGACTCAATGTTTCTCCAAGTCATTTTCCCCTGGTTCCCCCTTCCCAGCCCACCCCACCCCCCGTCCGTGACTTTGGGCAACTTTTATTAGCAACGCGTTGCCCCAAACCCAGCTCAGGGTGTCACTGAGCTGGGCTCTCACAAAGCAGGGCGGGGCACGGTGACCCTGCAGGTCACGCTGGCCACGGCGAAGGCCATGGCGCACCTTCCGGACCCTCCGCGGAGGGCAAGGGCATGGCCGGCCCTGGCAGGGAGGAAACAGCCTTGGGTAGCCCAGGCCCCCTGAGGCCCGCCGTGGGTCCCACAGACTCAGCCTGACTCTGGTCGTTCCGTTCGGTAGCAGGCACCTTCGGGCCTCCCAGCCCCCACTCCCACGGTCCAGGAAACCAGAGCAGACCAGCTGGGAGCTGGGAGATGAAGCGGACTCGGGAAACAGCGATGTTTGCTGTGGTTCACAGGTGACAACACACGGTTAACTCGGCTCCCGCTGCCGCCGCTCCGTTCCTTCCGAGGCAGTCAGTGTCCGGCAAGGTCTCCTCCTCACCCACCCCGTCCCTTCTCCAGTCGCCCGCACAAGTGACTTCTCAGCCTCAGCGCGCTCCTGTCCAGTCTCTGATGACGTGCGTGGTCTCTGAGTTAAGAGCTCACTAAAGTGTAGATCATGCTGAAGGCAAAAAGAAGGGGGAGAGGAGGCGTTAGTGGGAGACCGCAGGGGCCTGGGACTGGCCCTCCCAAGAGGGACCCGCCAAAGCCGGACCCCGGGCCACTCCTGCCACTTTCTCATCCCTGTCGCATTTGTTAGGAGAGCACAGTGTGTCTCCGGTAAAAGATGGCGTGTGCAGCCCCAAGCTCGCCTGGAGCCTATACCATTAGCAATAGCAAGGGGTTAGTGAGCACCTACTGTGTGCCAGGGTTTAGTGAGCACCTACTGTGTGCCAGGGGTTAGTGAGCACCTACTGTGTGCCAGGGGTTAGTGAGCACCTACTATGTGCCAGGCACTGCAGACACAGAGGTGAATGAAACAGACGCCGTCTCTACCATCAAGTAAACCATATACCTGGGCAGGAGGGTGGTGCTATCTTGGATAGAACGTGTCAACCTGCTTTACACTTAAAAAAAAAAAATTTATTGAGCACTTAGATGTGCCAAAGATTGCTATAGACGTTGGGACCGCTGCCCCTCCCTTCATACACAACAGGAGCCCTGGCTCCCGATCCGAGTCAGATGGTGGCATCAAATCCCACATGCTCATGGGCTACCTCCCCAAGCCCAGGAGGCCGGCCTGAAACACCCCCACCCCCCAGCCACGCCCTGCAGGAGTCAGACCCTCCGGGAGGGGCGCAGGCTCACCAGTACAGGTAGTAGAAGAAGGAGAGGAGGTAGAAGGCCAGCTTACACCAGGCCTCCTTCTGACAGTAGCTCAAGGTGTCTGCGTTCATGACCACCGGCGGGTCGTAGGCCAGCTCGGAGCTGTCCGCTGGGCAGTGGAAGTACCTGCGGGGGAGGAGGACACGGCGTTGCTGGCTCTGAGGCTGAGAGGGGGCATCTGAGGTCACCGGGGCCCAGCCCTCCCGAGGGTGACTGCCCCCATCTGCCTTCGGCTCGGATCCCGGCCTGAAACTAACAGCGGCCCAGGCGCTCTCTCCTCGCAGATGGCGGCTCTCCCAGGACTCAGATCTGCAGATGCCCTGGTGACCTCACCCACTGGCCAAGCTGCTCCGACAGGAGGAAGACTGAGTCACCTGTGGGACCTGGGTGGCACCTGGCAGGGCCCGCTTCTGCAGGGCTGGGGGAGGGGCCTGCGGTGCGCAGCCACAGGTATCAGAGCAGGTGCAGGTGTGGACAGACAGAGCCGTGCTCACTGCTCGAAGCCACTGGACCACAGTCCTACCTCAGTCAGCCATCACTCGGCTTAAATACTGACCTCTATCCAGACCCTCTTTTTTTTTATTTTTATTGGTTTCAGAGAGGAAGGGAGATGGAGAGATAGAAACATGAATGATGAGGGAGAATCATTGATCGGCTGCCTCCTGCACGCCCCGTACTGGGGATGGAGCCTACAACCCAGGCATGTGCCCCTGATGGGCAACCGAACTGGGATTTCCTGGTTCATAGGACGACACTCAACCCCTGAGCCACGCTGGCCGCCTGCTGGGTGGGACTCTCATTTTAAAGGACCCCTTCCTCCTACTTCCTTTTTCTTTCATTTTCTGAGTGCTTACGAATTGCCAGGCCAGGCCAGACCCTGTCAGGGATTAAAAAGACAAGTCCCTGCCAAAACCGGTTTGGCTCAGTGGATAGAGCATCGGCCTGCGGACTGAAGGGTCCCAGGTTCGATTCCGGTCAAGGGCATGTACCTGGGTTGCGGGCACATCCCCAGTGGGAGATGTGCAGGAGGCAGCTGATCGATGTTTCTCTCTCATCGATGTTTCTAACTCTCTATCTCTCTCCCTTCCTCTCTGTAAAAAAATCAATAAAATATATTTAAAAAAAAAATAAAAAAAAAAATAAAAAGACAAGTCCCTCCTGCTCTTCTTTATGCCAAAGTCACGTTCCAGGTGCACGGCACTGCTGCCTCTCCCCCTCCAGCTCCTATTCTGAGTTGTGCTGCCGCTGCTTCTCACACTGACCCAGGGTGAGGCTGTGGGCAGTGGGGCCTGCACAGAGCCTTCCTTACGGGACTTGCTACCTAAGAGCGGGGAGCAGGTTCTCCCAGGGGAGGAGTGAGAGAAAGCCTCTCACTGGCAGCCGTTGGGGGGTCGTCGTCTCTGGGGCGGCCACCCGCACAGAAACGGGGAAGGGCAGCCGGGGCCCAGCCCTTACCTCCAGAAGTGATAGAACAGCAGCGGGACATTCAGCCCCAGGGTGAGCCACTCCTGCGCACACAGGAACATGATGCAGAAGAGGCTGTGGATGGAGTACTCCGGCAGCACCAGCTGGAGGGGGAGCAGGGGCACGGGCTGAGTTAGAGGAGGGACAGTCGCCCCCAGAACCAAATCCGCCTGCCTAATTCTCCACCCGGTCCCTTCTGGCCTCCGCCCGCCCCGCCCACACTCCCATGAAACCAAGCCCCCAGCTGCCCCAGGAGGAAGGAAGACCGCGGGCTGCTTCTCCAACCACAGAGGCCCTGTCTGGGATGACACTGATCCAATCCCAGGGCCTGCCCTGAGCTGTACCTGCCCGGTGCCCAGGAGTGGGAAGAAGGAAAGGGTAATGGCTCTTCCACTGGAATCCCCAACCTACGCTAACGGACCCTCAGACAGAGGAGCCGCCTGGGCGAGCAGGGACTTTCTCATAAATGCCGGTCCTGGAGGTCGGTTCCTCCTTTGTCCCCAAATGAATCATCAAGCGCAGGATTCACAAGGGGGCGGGGGGGGATGGCACACTTGGGAAGCTGGGATTTCGCTAAGTTGGGCGAGTGTGAGCACAGCATCCCAAGCGCTGTCAGGAACCCTGACTGAGTCCCTTTGCTCGAAGGAGGCCACTTCCTCTTTAATTGCTCTGAGCACAGCCCGCCCCCACCCCCAGCAGTCAGACCCGGTGGGGAGGGCGGCCCAGCCTCTCAGGATTCCCTGAAGGCCTCGGACCCCTTCGTGCTGGGGACCCCAACAGCCAGGACTGGGGGTTGGGCTCACGGGAGCGTTGCCTGCTGGCTGGTGCTGGTGGGTTAACTTGTGTGACCTCCTGGTTTCACACCAGTGCTTAGCAAATACCTTTAAGGGCTGAGCAGACGACTCTACATCTAAGCAAGTGAGCACAGAGTCACCGAGTGCAGAGTGTAATTTAAAGTCACCGTGACATTCATCTGTCTCGAGCCGGTTGTATATGCACCGGGAACGGTGGCGGTGGCTCTCAGCTCTGCCCTGCCAGCCGCTCCCCTAAATGCCACCGCCAGGTACCGCCCTGACCTGGTCACGGTCAAGATCAGCCCCTCGAGGCTGATCCTGGAGGAACTGTCACAGATCATGTTCCCCAGGGCTTGCTCCTGCGCCCCAGGAGTGCAGGGGAACAGGAGGCAAGAGAAGGAATGCCTGCCTGGTGACCGCGGCCTGAAGTCAGAGGGGTGCTCTGGCCTGGGAAGGCCGGTGGTCACTGAGGACACAGGCAGGGCAGGGGCCACCGAGGGCTGTTCCCAACGCCGGAGGGGCTTCCTCCCAGGCCTCCCACTGTCCAACCCCTCGGGGCCCCCTGGCTTCTCGCACCCTCTCCTTCAGCGCCCACCCAGGGCACAGTTACCCCCCTCCCCCGGGGCAGTCGCCTCTGCTTTCCTGGCTCCCACATGGACTCCTTCTACCTCTGCACGGGGACAGACAGCACAGAGAGGACAGCCCGTGTCTTTAAGCTTCTCCGTGGCTTAGCAGTGGCTCTCCGACTTCCGGATCACGGAGGTCCGGCTAAAACAGAGGCTGGGCCCCGGCCCCAGAGCTTCCGGGTCAGTGGGCCTGAGTTCGGAGCCTGGGGTCAGCTTCTGTGAGCGGTTCTCGGTGAGCCACGGCCAGCCTCACCTGCGTCACCTGGAGCTTGCCAGCCGGGCAGCCTCTGGGCTCCCACCCCCAGACTTGCTGGACCGGAACCTGCATTTTTCCCAAGACCCCCGGGTGATGCAGATGCACATTCCAGTTTAAGAAGTGGGTGCTCGGCGCTGGTTCCCAAAGCAGGGTTCCTGGGCCACCTGCATCAGAACCGCCCGGGGCCTTGGTTTAACGTGCAGGTTTCTGGGTTCCACCCCAGTCCACTGAGCTGGCCTCTCTGGACCAGCATGCTGCAGTTTTTAGATGCATCCCAGGTGGTTTTGTTAAACAGTGGGGCTGAGAGTCACGGAACAGAGGTTCGAGGCAGACCCTTTCCTTTTGAAGACGCCGGTCCCAGCCCTCACCCACGCCCCCTGCAGGGCGGGGTGGTCCTGCGCGCAGGGTGCATTGTCGCTAACAGCTGCTCTGGACTCCAGTCTGAACAGGCAGGCCTGGCAGGTCAGAGCTCCCCCAGCCATGACTACGTGGAAGAGCCCTGACAATGCTCCCCGACCCCCTGTGGCTCGCAGTCTCTATTCCTGAAGGGTTGGGCCTTGGCATCTTCCTGGGATGGAGGTCGGCTCCTTCTGTCTTGGGAACCCACAGCCTCCAGTTTCCGCCACCTCCTGCCTGGCCCCGGCTGGCCACCTCTGCGCCTCACCCTCACCAGCTCCTCCGACCTGGCCTCCCTGGGGTCTCCAGGACTCTCCTGGGAAGCGACTGGTTCCTTTCAGGACCAAACCTGGGGTTCTGGCCCTGTCCTGGCCACACCTCCCAGCCTGTCTTTGATCCTCATTTTCATGCAACTTCAGACACACTGGAATTTCAAACGCCTTTCCTCACTCCCTTGTTAAGTTGCTGAACCACCTACCAGCCCACTCAGGGAGGGGGTGAGAATAAAAGCGCTCTCTCAAATCGTGCCAGATTTTGAAAGGGACACAATTCCCCCACAACTGGCTGGCAACTGAGAGGCATCTTAAGTTAACACGAACAGCTACCCACTCCTTTTCTGTCCTTTAAGCCAGGGGTAGGGGGGTAGGAATCGTGTCTGGAGTACAGGGAGCGATTAGGCAAAGATGATTACTTGAGAGACACTAACAGCAGAGAATGTTCTCGAATGAGAAGGGCAAGGGTTTAGCAAGCCTTCCGGTGCCGAAGAGCCCCGCCTAGGCCCTCACTCAGCAGGTATTTATCATCGGCAATTACCAGGCGGCGGGTGCAGAGCGGCCTGGCCCGGGGAGACTGCCAGGCAAATGAGCGTGTGCATCTCGGATTCCACCGCATCAATACATGGGAAGCACAGCACTAACGGAGCCAGCCCGTGAGCAGCGCGACGCGGGACGAAAGGAGAGAGAGAAGCCATTCATTCTGAGGGAGGAGAATGGCCTTTGAGCGGAGATGTCGAGGAAGAGCTGTCTGGGGGCAGGAGGCAGGATGTCGGGGTGCGGGGCACCCCAGGGCGCTCAGCGTCACCCTTCACTGAGAGCGTCATTTTTTTATGTCCTACATGGACATCGCCGCCAGACCTTCCGCAGAAGTGACACCGGGACCGGGACCCTTTCCACCAGCCTCTTCTTTTTTTTTTTTTTTTTGTTAATCCTCACCCGAGGATATTTTTTCCATTGATTTTCAGAGACAGTGGAAGGGAGGTGGGGGCGGGAGGGGAAGAGAGAGAGAGAGAGAGAGATAAACATTGATGTGAGAGAGACACATCGATTGGTTGCCTCCCCAGCGCACCAGACTGGGGATGGAGCCTGCAACCCAGTACCTGGCCTTGACTTCGGTGCAAGGGCTGACGCTCTAACCACTGAGCATGCCGGCCAGGGCCCACCAGCCCCTTTCTTTTTTAAAAAATATATTTTATTGATTTTTTACAGAGAGGAAGAGAAGGGGATAGAGTTAGAAACATGGATGAGAGAGAAACATCCATCAGCCGCCTCCTGCACAACCACTACTGGGGATGTGCCCGCAACCCAGGTACATGCCCTTGACCGGAATCGAAGCCGGGACCCTTCAGTCCGTAGGCCGATGCTCTATCCACTGAGCCAAACCGGTTACGGCCAGCCCCTTCTTAAACCTGGGGACCTTCTAGGGAATAGTCAGGATGACCACCTGACCAGGGAAAACCACGTGACCAGAAGTGGGCAAAGGGCAGAAACGAGTCCTCTTGTGCCTTTGCTTCTGACCACGGCCTGAGCGCCTGGTGGATGGCGCTCAGCGTCCATGCTGCGCGCACTTTCGCCAGGCTCACCAGAGGTGCGGGCACAGCCCTAGAGGGCTGTCCACGTAATGGCACGTGGGGGGGAAAAGTTATAGAAAAACCATGTTTTCATTATTGGGAAGAAGAGAAAACAAAAAGCCACCCCTGCGTGTGTGGACACACGTGTGGGTGTGTGTTTGTGTGTGAAACGCATGGAGATCACAGCAGGACACAGGTCCAAGCTTTTAACAGCAGTCACGTCGGACCAGCTGGGAACAGAGAGGGGCGAGGAGTTAACCGATCCTTTCTGCCTATCAGTGTCCCATCATGTTCTGGTCACAACGGGACATGCCACCTTTATCATTAAGACAATTAATAAAGAAACCCAAAGGGCGGGGCTCAGACCACCTGATTCCGATCCTGGCTTCCCATGCCCCAGCTTCATTCCCTTCACCCCCTCATCCTCGCCGGTGAACGGGGGCACAGTGGAGGCCACACCCCAGGGCGAGTGTGAAGCGAGATGATGCGCTTAAGCATGTTGCACAATGTCCGGCACAGCGGTTCTCAACCTTCTGGCCCTTTAAATACAGTTCCTCATGTTGTGACCCAGCCATAACATTATTTTCGTTGCTGCTTCATCACTGTCATGTTGCTACTGTGATGAATTGTCATGTAAATATCTGATATGCAGGATGGTCTTAGGCGACCCCTGTGAAAGGGTCGTTCGACCGCCAAAGGGGTCGCGACCCACAGGTTGAGAACCACTGGTCTAGCATCTTCCATGCTGTGGAGGACAACTTATGCATTGTTGTTAAGGCAAAGCCTTTCCCTGAGCAACCAGGGACCAGTCTTCCCAGTCTAGGTAAGCTCACCTCCTCTGGCGCAGAGAAAGGCCCGCTCCCTTTCCTCTGCCCTGCAGGGGGACGCCTGGCGCCCGCCTCCCTGGGCACTGCTGCGATGTAACGACTGTTTTTGTGCAGCCTGGACAGTGAGCCCCAGAATGGGTCATGCTGCCCCACTGCCCCGTGACCAGCTCTGGGCAGGGGAGCACCCGGGACCTCCTGGGAAGGGACTCCTACAAGGGAAGAAGTGACGGTCCTGATCTCGTTCCCGCCACCTCAGCAGCTGGCACTTCTGCAAAGGCTGACATCGCACCCTCGGATTCAGTCCTGACCCTGGGCCTGTGGGGAGACAGGAGCCGCAGCTAATTGGGAGGATGAATGGCCCGGACCTCGCCCCACGGGTGCTGGGTTAACTGTCTCAGCTCGGGGGCTGGCTTTGCACGCTGCTGCCCGCAAAGCTGTGGCAGTAGGAAGAGGCTGCGTTTGGTCCAACCCCTGGGAAATGGCAGGGGTGAGGGCACAGCGAGCAGGTGGCCATCGTCAAGCCAAGGAGAGAGGCCCCTGGAAACTGAGAGGTTGCCTTTGACCAAAACCTCTCAGCCTAATGATGACTTGGAGGACGAGAATCAGCAGAGAGGGGTCATGGGAATGGGAACATGCTGGGTTGGCCGAGAATGGTGTCCAAATTGCGCTGAAACCCCCAAAGGTACGGATCTGTGCTGGGAAATGCAGGGAAGCGTGTTCTTATTCCCTGGTGCCCGGAAACGTGGGACTACCACAAAGGACAGGGGTGGGGGAAACAGCGTGGATTTGAATCCAGACCCGGCACGTACCACCTGAGTGACCTGGGCAGGTGACGCAAGCCCTCGAGTCTCAGCTCCCCATCCCCGCTGCACAGGGCTGTCGTACGTCTCGGTGACATGCTGCCATTTTCGGGGTGAGGGGCTGAGCAGTGAACAGCTTACACAGACCCTGTCCCCACCACCTTTACAGACTACGGAGGAAAGCAAGCACGTTCCGCATGATCATACCTCTGACATGCCCTCCCACTCCGCCTTCCTCTTAAAGTCTGCAATAGGCCTGGCCGGTGTGGCTCAGTGGTTGAACGTCACTTATGAACCAGGAGGTCAGGATTCGCTTCCCGGTCAGGGCACATGCCCGGGTTGCGGACTCGATTCCCAGTAGGGGGTGTGCAGGAGGCAGCCAATCGATGTCTCCCTCTCATCGATATTTCTCTCTCTCTATCCCTCTCCCTGCCTCTCTCTCTAAAAATCAATTTTAAAAAAAACAACTAAAGTCCATAGCAGTTGTGATTGAAATGCTTTATAGATAACTTGAAGCAACGCAATGTCCACCACTCTTGTTTCCGATTGGCAGCTGGTATCGCCATGACCAAAAGCATCTGAGGCACCACACTGGCGTGTTTGGACACCTCCCTGATACAAACACAGCCTCGCTGAAGACAAGTTGTCATTTCATCCGCACAGCCCGCTGACGCAACCTCAACAGCACGCATGCTCCCCGGGGAGAGGCCTCGACTAAGTGGCTGCTCTATTTGGTTCCCACCAGGATACCGGCGGCACTGGCAGCCTTGCACACTGACGCGTTGAGTGGTAACAGCAGTGATGTCACCGCTGAGAGGCCACGTGGCCACGTGCTCGCCGCCCACCTCCCTGAGCTACAATCGGTGATCACTGTCCTGAATTTCATCAATCACGGCGTTGATTGGTCGGCAGATTCAGAAAGGGAACAGGATGCCTTTGCTCTCCCTTTACAATAAGGGCACTTTGCATTTGTCTAGCAAATGTAACGGATGTGGTGCATTTTTTTTTGTTCTGCTGCCTGGCGTGACCCCCAATGAGACAAACTCCCTGCGTTTAGTCATTGTCTGTGCCATCGAGACAACGTGGGAGTCAGAGCCAGTGACACTCAGCTGGGGGAGGACCAGTGCCCCAAATTGCTTCACGAATGACACACCCCATGCAGGTTGCAGAGCCGGCACGAGAACGAAGCTATTCCCCGGGGAGAAGCTACATCTGGAGCCCGGGAATCGATCGGCACATGGGGCGGGGGGGGGAGTCCGCAGGAAAGCTCATCGGCGTCTCGGGGCTCTGTGGGCCCCGCCAAGGCACAAGCCGTCCCGGTTACAACTTTAGGGCGAGGCAGAGAATGGGTCACACTCCAGGGAATAAGAGGCGATTAGGGTTTGGCAATATTGGCACATTCTGTGGCCTAGAAACTTAACCCAGAAAGGGTTCTTGCTTTGTCAGCAATAGGGAAAAGGCAGAAATGGCGAGGATTCTGAGGCTGAAAAGCAGATTTTTTTTCTCATCCCATTCTGGGAAAGGGAGCCTCTGAAAGCAAATCTCCCGTCAAGAAAAACAAGTGTCCGTGGATGACCTGCAACCAGCCACCCGCTGGGCTGGCCGCCACCGAGGAGGTAGGGAGTTCGGGCCTCACTCCATCGGTCGGTCCGCTTAGGCACCGTTAGCCAACTATTGCTTTTCCTCTGTATCATTTAGAGCAGGGGTCCTCAAACTACGGCCCGCGGGCCACATGCAAATACAAATATTGTATTTGTTCCCGTTTTGTTTTTTTACTTCAAAATAAGATATGTGCAGTGTGCATAGGAATTTGTTCATAGTTTTTTTTTAAACTATAGTCCGGCCCTCCAACGGTCTGAGGGACAGTGAACTGGCTCCCTTTTAAAAAGTTTGAGGACCCCTGATTTAGAGAATGACGGCGCTCTAAAGACGCATGCATTACCCCAAATCCAAATGTAGGAAACTGATTAACTTCTCAATGAAGTCCTCTCTCCCAATAGATATCAGTAGTGAACAGAAAAGGGTTCGAACACTGGCACACTCTTTCCCTTCGATGGACGGTGGCCGGGCATCTGCTGTCCTGCCCACCCACACGAGGCTCAAACCCTCTTTTGCATGGACAGCAGCTTTCCTAGGGCCTGTGGCCCGTCTGCTCTGGACAGAGGTGAGGGGTGTCCTTTGGCTCAAGGCCAGAGACTCCGCTTATTTTACCTGCAAGTACCTGTTCTCTATACTTTGCTGCAAAAACACACACACACTTTCCTGCCCGGAGAGTGGCAGGCTGGTCGCTCTGGCCCCCTGGCTATGCCACAGAGTGGTGCTCACTGCCAGGCTTGAGCTGCACGCACACACGTGCATTTGCGTGCACACATGTGCCTCCTGCATGTGTGTAGGGCAGCTGTGACCCTCAGCCCCTCCATTCAGGGCAGCTCTCTGAATGCTTGGCTCCCCTTTAATAACACCTCCCCTCCCGCCCCTCCGACTCCCAATGAGGCTGCCAATCAAACTGCCACGCTGAGTGGCAGGCTGAAACCTCAGAGCAAACCCATCATCCCATTACAAAGGTCCCTGAGCCCAGCACCAGACAGGAACAAAGGCTGTGCGCCTGCTGTTATTATGAAAAGATAAAGCAGCTCTCAGTCCAACCACAGGCACTTCAATTATCCAGCGCTATCCTGCCACTTGGGTTGACGGGCACCCTTTTAATTCGCTCCTCTTGTCTCTGGAGGCATCCAAAGAACCCATCGCTGGCTCCCCCCAATCCCCCCGGGGAGACAGGACAGGAGCAGGCACCAGCCCCTCCGCGGTGACCGCACCTGACCGTGGCCCTTGCACTGACCTTCCGCAGAAGGAAGCAGATGCGCTCGATGTTCCTCAGCCGTTCCCTCTGTCAGGACGCACGAGAGAGAAAGGAGAGGTGGGTTAGAGCGAGGGAAGCCCCCACAGTGACCTCAGGAGCGGAGGCAGCCCCCGCCCGAGGCCCCGCCCAGCCAGAGGGCGTGCAGCCCCCACCGGTGGCTTTTCCTAACGAGTTTTCCCATCTACCTGGTCACCTGCTCTTAGAAGAACTCCACCAGCAAACAGGATGGGCTCAGCCTCCAGCAGAGGCGTCTGTACTGTTTCTATACAAAGTCTCGCTCCGCCTCCATGCACCTGTAAGACTGTCAGCTGACCGGCACCACGTGCTTACTGACTGTCCCAAAGCCTGCAGCTGCCCCCCGCCCCTCCCCCCAGGAGGACTTCCCGCGAGGGTGTCAGAGAGCATATGTGCCTGATTAGTGTCTGAGGAAGGGACATTCTCTGCCCGTTGGCTTTGTCTGTCTAGAGCAGTGATGGCGAACCTTTTGAGCTCGGCGTGTCAGCATTTTGAAAAACCCTAACTTAACTCTGGTGCCGTGTCACATATAGAAATTATTTGATCTTTGCAACAATAGTAAAACAAAGACGTATATTTTTTATATTTATTTTATATATTTAAATGCCATTGAACAAAGAAAAATCAACCAAAAAAGTGAGTTCGCGTGTCACCTCTGACACGCATGTCATAGGTTCGCCATCACTGGTCTAGAGTGACTGTACTTAAAGGAAGTACTCTCCCCCCTAAATGAGACACCAGCAGCGCGGCATCCCACAGCTTCTGAGAGAAACGCATCACCCCACTCAGCGATCACTTGTAACCCAGGCCCTTCTGTGCTGTTGTCACCGACCAGGGAGGTAGCTTTCTCAGGCCACCTGGTCCTGAAATGCCACTGCAGGGGCCCACAGGCCTGAAGACGAGTTAACGAGGCATCAGAGCGTTTAACAGGACTCCTGCCAGGGAGTAACATTGGAACTGGGAAAACGTGGGTTTTATGGATTGTTTTAAAATCTCAGACAAGCCCGGCGTGGCTCAGTGGTTGAGCGTTGACCTATGAACCAGGAGGTCATGGTTCGATTCCTGGCCAGGGCACATGCCCGGGTTGGGGGCTTGATCCCCAGTTGGGGGCGTGCAGGAGGCAGCCGATCAATGATTCTCTCTCATCATTGATGTTTCTATCTCTCTCTCCCTCTCCCTCTCCCTTCCTCTCTGAAATCAATTAAAAAGTATTTTAAAAAAGAGAATGCTGCCATAAGCCTTCCAGGTTTAGATGGCATCACACTAGCGAATCCTGATTCAAACAAAAACTTGCTTTAGCGCTGGGCACCAGGGCCTGGAAGGAGCTTCAACTAACATAGGCCCAGCGAGTTTAGATGGAGCCACACACTTAAATGAGGTGTGTGTGTGTATGTGAGAGAGAGAGAGAGAGAGAGAGAGAGAGAGAGAGAGAGGACACGCTCCATCTCTTGAGTCCAGCAGGGCTGGTCTGGAATGAGTTCAGAAAAGGCTCTGTCCACACACATGTTGGCCCCTGGCTCCAGGACATGGGCTGGCATGACCAGAGAAGCAGGCAGCCAACACCCACCCACTCAACAGAAGTGAGAGGTCCTTCTCCAGGCCCTGCTCTCATGCCTCTCCCTGCATCCGTTCCAGGGCAGGGCAGCAGGCACGCCCACGAGCAAGATGGGCGGTGAGACTGGGCACAGCACGTGCTGCCCCTGGGCCAGACAACCAGACGTCAGGGGAGTCCCCAGGGGCAGGCGACCTCGAGCCCACAGAGCTGGTCCAGATGAATGCTTCCTGGTGACGGCTACGGGACTAGGAGCCTGGACATCAACCCACAGTATCAGAGCGAGGCGACCACTAATGATGCTCCTATACCTGCCCAACAGGGGGACACCACGGAGCTCCCTCCCGTTCAACCAGGCCTTGAGGACTCAACGGACCCAGCACAGCAGGCATTTCCCACCTGGGCCCCGGGGGCTGCCATACTTGACTTGCAAGAGAAGTCAAGACCTCTGCAGGCCCGGAGAACAAGAAGTCCTCTCAGCCTTGAGCCAGGCGTGGAGGTCCAGCCAGAGCCGGGAATGTTCTCTACTCGTCCTATGCATCGGAACCTCGCCCTCCTTCCCAGGCCCTGGGTGGCTGGTGGGGGCACTCCCTGCCCCGCCCACCAGTACCCTCGACTTACCGCGTGCACGGGGTTGCACTGGTCTATGGGGCTCTTAAAATCTGTCCTCAGCTCATCGAAGGCAATGATCTGAAACGAAACAGACAGAACTGAGACGTTAGAGTCAAGGTGGGTCACTACGAAGCGTCAAAAGCTTCCTGGAGATTTGCTTCCAGTAACAGAGGAGGCAGGAGGTGGGTGTCAATGACAGGAGACCTGGTGCAAGTCGGCCGCTGTGGAAGCTGCGACCCCAAAACAGAAGACGGCAGGGATCTCGTTAAAGGGCTCACCGTTGCAACTAGTGAATAAACAAGCCCTGGAAATCTCATCCCCAGTGCAGTGGTTCTAGACAACAAAGCTATTACAGTAACACTGAAGACAGTCGATCTTAATGGCTCCCAGTGCCAGAAGCAGGGGTCCTCAAACTTTTTAAACAGGGGGCCAGTTCACTGTCCCCTCAGACTGTTGGAGGGCCAGACTATAGTTTTAAAAAAAAACTATGAACAAATTCCTATGCACACTGCATATATCTTATTTTGAAGTAAAAAAACAAAACGGGAACAAATACAATATTTGTATTTGCATGTGGCCCGCGGGCCGTAGTTTGAGGACCCCTGGCTAGAAGGAATGATAATTATGGGATGGCACAGAGGTGTGAGTGAACGCGACAGTTGCAACCACATTGCAATAAACACGTGTCACCTTAAATTTACAGTATGCTGCATGTCAGATATGTCTCCATTTTCTAAATCCCCAAAATAAAGTTTTTTTTAAAGCTTTCTGTGTTGTACAAAAGTGATGGCGAGAACGGGATGGGGATTGGATACAGGCGCACAAGGAATGCACGTTCAGCTTCTCTCGTCATCGCAAGAAGCTGTTGGTTTCTTATTGCTGCTTATTTTGGCAGAGAAGCTACCTGGAAGTAAAATGGACGGAAGCCGGGCAAAGGGGAAGGAAGACACAAGAAGGCAGAGGTGATGGTAAGAGAAACAACCCAATCTCTGGCTGTCCGCAGGCTGGATCCCCAACTCTGGACAGTGAAGGCTTCGCGGCGTGGCCCGTTGGGTCAAGTTCATTCTGGACCGAGACCCGAGCCCCCCAGAGAGCAATGGTTCCCCCACTTGTCGGGGGGGGGGGAATGTTGGAGGGGACCTTCTCCAGCTACAGAAGGAGGCACAGCCACAGGAAGAACTAACTAGAGGTGAAGCTCCCCAGCCCGAGCCACCTCGTCCCTGGAAGGGTGACTTGGTGACAGACAAGGTGGTATTTGGCCAGTGGGCTGCGCATAAATGGACATAGAGCCCCGCCCCCGTGACTGCGCTCCCCAGGGGGGCCAAAGTAATGAAGCCAGCACACCCCCCACACGTCCTTGTTCCAGCAACAAGGGGCTCAGCGTACTAGTAAGTCCCACGTGAGTGAGAGCAACGTACTTCCCTCTACGAAGCAGGTATAATTTTATTTTTAAAATATTTTTATTGATTTCAGAGAGGAAGGGAGAGTGAGAGAGAGAGAGATACATCAAGGATGAGAGAGAATCATGGATTGGCTGCCTCCTGCATGACCCCAGCTGGGGATCGAGCCCGAAACCCAGGCGTGTGCCCTGACCAGGAATGGAACCGTGACCTCCTGGTTCATAGGTCGATGCTCAACCACTGAGCCACGCTGGCCGGGCAAAGCAGGTATAATTTTAAAGCAGTCACGTGTCGTCCTGATCTCAATACTCCCGCAGAATTAGGAGAAAATTCTCATATCGCTTATATTCATAGACACATTTCCCTTTCACCCCTTGCTGGGTAATTAGCCTGCCTGTACTTGAGCCCTTTAGGAACAAGGAACTTGTCGCTCACTGGCGATGCTCACTCCATTCCCGGCTACCTCTAATTAATCACTGTCTTCCTGTATTGAATTTACATATAACTCCTAGAGGCTTCCCCCCATGGTCTACACCAGGGTCAGCAAACTACAGCCCGCAGGCCAAATCCCGCCTGCCACCTATTTTTGTACAGCCTGTGAGCTAAGAATGGTTTTCATACACTTTTTAAATAGCTGGAAAAAATCAAAAGAAGAAGAACATTTTGTGACATGTAAAAAATTACATTCAAATTTCAGCTTCCATAAAGTTTTATTGGCAACACAGACACACTCGTTCTTTTATATGCTGTTCCTGTATACGTTCGCACTACAAGGGCAAAGTTGAGTTGTTGCTGCAGACACCGTCTGACCCGCAAAGCCCAAAATAGTTACTATCTTGCCTTTTACAGAAGAAAAAAAAATTGCCAATCCCAGTCCAGTCTTTTATTTGCCCTCTAGAGCTGCACTGTCCAATAAGGGGGTCACATTTGGCTATGCAAATTTAAATTTTAATTGGTTAAAGTTCAATTTAAAAGTTGGTTCCCACATTTTAATTGCTCAAATGCCACATCTGTCCAGCAGCTATTAAGCAGCACAGACATAAAACATGCTATCATCACAGAAAGCTCTAGTGCAGTGGTTCTCAACCTTCTGCCCCTTTAAATACAGTCCCTCATGTTGTGACCCAACCATAACATTATTGTCGTTGCTACTTCATCACTGTCATGTTGCTACTGTGATGAATCGTCATGTAAATATCTGATATGCAGGATGGTCTTAGGCGACCCCTGTGAAAGGGTCGTTCGACCGCCAAAGGGGTCGCGACCCACAGGTTGAGAACCGCTGCTCTAGTGTGAGGCCCATAGGATATGTCAGATCACTCTCCCAGAAGGAACCCCGCTAAAGATTGTCACCTATCATGAACCCAGCAAATCTTTCTTCCTTCCTTCCTTCCTTCCTTCCTTCCTTCCTTCCTTCCTTCCTTCCTTCCTTCCTCCCTCCCTCCCTCCCTCCCTCCCTCCCCCCTTCCTTCCTTTCTTTCTTTTTTTGATTAATCCTCACGCAAGGATATTTTCTCATTGATTTTTAGAGCAAGTGGAAGGGAGGGGGAGAGACAGAGAGAAAAACATCGATGTGAGAGAGACAATCGATTGGTTGCCTTCTGCACGCCCTGACCAGGGCTGGGGATCGAGCCTGCAACCGAGGTACCTGCCCTTGACCGGAAATGGACCCACGACCCTTCAGTCCTTGGCTGACACTCTATCCACTGAGCCAAACTGGCTAGGGCCCCGCAAATCTTTCTTCTTCAAGCTAAATCTTTCCAACTTTTATTTATATAAACTGGCACTAAGTTGCCTCATCATGCTAATCGCCCTCCATTGACGTTATAGGGAAATGTCCGAACTAAAATGTGACTGTCAGAACCAAACACCATCTTCAAGGTGAGATCAGCTGGCACAGAAAGTAAAAGTATCAGTCACCTCCTCTGTTCTGTAGCCTATGCCTCTGTTAATGCAACCGGATAGCAGTAGCTTTTTGGGTACCACATCACATCCCTGGCTTCATACTGGCCTTGCATTGCCCAAAAGTTATAGGTCTTTTTTCACGTGCTTGAGTTAAACTCAGTCCAACTCGTCCTGCATGCACATTGTTAGATTTGGGGGGGGCTTAAGAGCAGAAACCAACCCTTTCCCCTTTAATTCCTCCTTATTCAGTTTGGTCCATTGGTCCAATCTGTTGATATATGACCTACCTCCCACCACAAATCCTAATGAGCATAATGGCTCAGTATCCACATCCACATTCTCCCTGATATAAATGCCAAGTGAGCGGGCCCGAGGGCAGCGCCCGGAGCTCGCCATTCCTAGCTCCCAGGAGGCTGCATCAGCAGTCCTCCAGCCTATTATTAATCCAACCATAGAGACCATTCACCACCTTTCGGCCCAGGTAACTGACAGGAAGTCTCTGGGTGGCTTTAGAACCCCTACTGTTGGTGCACCTCATAGAAGCTCCCCAAAGAGCCTGGGAGCCCAGGGAGGGAAGTCAGGCCCCCAAGTCGTGGGGGTGACTGGAGACCTGCCTGTGCAGGCCCCATGCCCAGTCCTGACCTGTGCGTGTCGCCGTGTAAGTGCTGGGAGGTAGGTCTGGGCCGAAGCGGGGAGAGGAGCCCCTGGGGGGTGCCGAGCTGTCCAGCCAATAGGAGAGCAGGCGGCCCTGCCCCGCTCAGCTCTTGACCTGGAGGAAGGGTGAAGGACCGCCCACAAGTGTAGCTCATGCCTTTGAGCTCCCTGAGAAAATAGGTCCTTCCCGGTGCTTCCTGATGATGGAGACGGGAAGGTCCACAGTGAGGATAAAGGCTTCAGCATCCCCACCCCCGCCTGGTAACCACTCACTGCCCGTCAATCATTCAGGGAGCATCCTTCACACACAGGCACTGGACTAGGTCCTGCAGGAGCCCTGCTAAGTGGGTTTAGAGCGAATCCTCACCCTTGACAGCTGGTCACCCTGGCCTGCCTCCAGCAAGAACCTAAATAAAAGTAAAAAGGAGAGGGGGAAACACACACACACACACACACATACACACACACACACACACTTAAAACCCCAAGGAGCCCAATCAGTCGGCTTGAAATGTTGGGTCTAAGTTGCCCAGATGCTACAGGGGAGAGAGAAATCAGTGACGCGGATCTCCGCGTTCATGAAGAAAAAGCATCCTCCTTCCTCGGTGACACACCAACCCATCCCCGACACTCGCATCTAAAAAAGCTTTCCCGGCGCAACATACATACATACACACACACTCACACTCTCACACACACACACACACACACTCCAGCAGACAGCAAGCGGGCTTAGGTTATAATTGCAGCATCCCAGTAATTGCCGGGAACGCAACACAAAAGTGTGGCCCAGGAAAAGCATTCTATGGGGGGGGGGGGGCTAGACAAGACAATATGGTCTTGATTTTGAATGCGCTTCCATGAATCTCCCACTAACACATCTCCCCAGCAGGCATGTAACGACTGGAGAACCAGTAGGCGGAGGTCCGCTTCTCCGGCAAAGACCTAGGCCCCAGCTGACCTGAGCGGCTCCTTAGCGACGGCTCCCTGCAGCTGGGAGGGCCCACGAGCCCACGGTGACAGTGACAATGATTTGTGAGAATTGAGGGACCTGCCTGGATGCCCACTTTCCTTCTGCACAAAGGTGAGCTGTGCTGAAAAGTCTGCATCTGCCCCTCC